GATGGAGGCATTGTGTAAGAGGATGCTTCATTCTAAACTCTTAAATTCTTCCTGGGGCTTGAACTCAGGAACTGGGAGCTGTCCCTTTGAGCCACAGCGTCACTTCGGGTTTTCAGGTGGTTAATTGGAGACAGGAGTCTCACAGACTTTCCTGCCCCTGCTGGCTTTGAACTGCAATCCTCAGATCTCAGCCTCCTGAGTTAGCTAGGATGACAGGCGTGAGCCACCGGTGCCCGGCTTAAATTCTGAATTTTGAAACACAGGTGGCCAATGGAAGGCTGACTTGTGAACTCTTGGAGACTGCCTTTCAGATTCTTGCTCTTAGACGGGTTGAATCTTTTACTGTTCCTCTGTTTGCCTTCTTCATCTGTTTCTTCTACCCATGATCACTTGCTTGATTATCTAACATGGCGGTCTTGGTGAGAGGTGGGGGGAAAGAAGAGGTGGGTGGAGGAAATAGGTAACAAGGGGAAATTTCTGCAAAGATACGCCATGTTCCTGGCTTTCCTCCAGCACCTCCCCTACTTTCTGCTTGCTGGAGGCCATGTGGTTCCAAGACCATGGCTTTCTGCTTCATCTGGGGCCCAAAGCAATGGATCCAACCAACCATAGACCGAAGTCTGTGAAGTTGAGAGCTAAAGTTAATCTTCACTCCTTTAAACTGTTTATGCCTTTCCATACTTGTCAGAGCAACAAGAACAACAGCAACAACAAAAAATGCTAACATGGTTGATTAGGAAATTGTATGTACTTCAGAACTTTGGGGGAAAAAAACATGGTCATTTCTTGTATGTGTTTGTCTATAGCTATTAGACATGTGCTTAAGTAGCTTTGGGAAATTAGCAAATTGACGTTTTATGTTCTTCCTCTGATGATTACTTTTAAGTATGTGGTTCCAGATATATTACCATATTACACCCTTCTATTCGGGATAATTTAGCTTACTTGGAAAGATTAAAAATAAATTATGGCTAGGCACTGGTGGGTCATGCCTTTCATCCTAGCTACTCAGGAGGCTGAGAGATGAGGATCATGGTTCAAAGCCAGCCTGGGCTGGAAAGTCTGTGAGATTTTTATCTCCAATTAACCATCAAAAAAATAAAAACCTGGAAGTAGTGCTGTGGCTCAAAGTGGTAGAGTGCTAGCCTTGAGTAAGCCCTGAGTTCAAGCCCCATGACAGACCCCCCCCCAAAAAAAAAAAGCTTAAGTATGTTGAAGTCTCAGAAAGCATTTTAGTACTATTAAAGACCTATAGTCTAATTGTACAGTTATCACTAAATACGCTGCTCTATTATATCCTTTGATATTTACAATGTTTGCGAACTGAGCTACATTTGAAAAGGAATGGTTCAAAGATGACAGCTTTAATCTGCGCAGCCTATGTGTATGTGTTTCCATGTTTCTTGGGCTGCTGTGTTTTAGCAATTTGCAGTGGGAGCCAGATGTTTTTAGGAGCTGTCTGGGCTGTTGCTGGACACAGATTGGCCTGGTTAAAGGTCAAGGTCTGTGTCCTGTGAATGTATTCTTAATTTTAACATTAATTGTGAATGCCAGTCTAACGAACAGTGCCAGATTTAGAGAAATAACCACAGTGTTGATTTCTACGACACTGTTATAATGGCATTTCTCAAGGCATGTTTCAAAAGGTTTGCATACTATTACTTAGCATTTGGAGGTCTGTGCAGGTAATTCCTTTCGGACGCAGTGAAAATTCTTATTTCTCCTTGACAGTGGGAAACGGAGTCCTGACTCAAGCCTTTGTGGTTGTAAACTTGTTAACTTAGCAAAAGAGGATGTGGGATGTGTATGGTCAGAGTGCCTGTCTAGGAAACGCAACTATAGTATTGGTTCTTAATTCATGGTATCTCCACCTTTGTGTGTTGTGCAGATGAGTGTTGCTGCTGACCACTTCCTCTATAAAACTTGCGTTCTTTGGTTTCTCTGTTTGGGGCTCTGTCATAAGGCACCATCACCCTTGTGTTTTTCTCCTCTTTTCTGTCTTCTGAGTTTCCTTCATGCATTGGATAAATGCATGAACTGGCCATGGACTGTCTGAGTTCTTTGACATTCATTCTATGTGTATTTTGCTTGCCTGTCATTGCCATTCCCAGACTTTGAGTTATCATCTCAGTGACAAAATATCTCCAGATCACATCTCTCTCTGTCTCCATATCTCTGTCTGTCTCTGTCTCTCTCACTCTCTCTCTCTCTGTCTTGCCAAGACTGAGTTTATGATAGCCTGTTAAAATCTAGACTTCTCAGTGAATGGCTCCAGTTCTCTCTGATTGGGCTGGAACCAGTTCTGACACCTGCAGTCTCATTCTCTTTATGGAGTCCCTCAACTCAACATCATTACAAATACATCATTACAGTCTCTTAATCTGTATCAGCTGTCTTTTACTGACAGAGCAAGAAGATGCTAGATCTAAACAAAAGAGCTTCAAACGATTGCTTTACATACATGCATACCCACATATGCCTTAATATTGGATAGAAATGCATGGGTATAATAACTACTGGGATGAAATAATTACATTTCAGATACTTCTAGCAGGGAAAGCCAGGGAGATGTACATAGACCTTGTATTTTTTTTTTTTTTTGGTCGTGGGGCCTGAACTCTGGGCCTGGGCGCTGTCCCTCAGCTCTTCAGCTCAAGGCTAGTGCTCTACCACTCGAGCCACAGCACCACTTCCAGTTTTTTCGGCTTATGTGGTGCTGAGCAATCGAACCCAGGGGTTCATGCATGCAAGGCAAGCACTCTACCAATGAGTCATCTTCCCAGCTCTTGTACATTGTCTCTGAGTTTTTATTTCATGAGGCATATTACCAATACCTGTATGGATTATATCCTTTTAAAATGTGTTTATGTAGATTCTGGAGAAAAAGATTCTGGAGAAAAAGGAACCAGTAAACCTGAGCATCAGGTAAACAACAGATATATAAATAAATATGTAAACATATACAGGGTTATATGCATAGATACATAAACATCTTATCTAAAGTATTGTGTATGTAGGGAAGAATTCCAATGATGAACTCTGTTGAACAACTAACTTAAAACAGTTAAATAAAAATGAATACCAGGAATCTAAGACATGTGGTGTGCATGTGGGGGGAGGTTAAGGGGAGAGAGGGCAGCAAATGGAGAGAGGAAGGATGGGTAAACACGGCCCTATGTCCTAGGTCAGAGAAAGTTATTATGAAGTAATGTATATGGGGGAAAGAAAAAGAAAACCCTGGGTAGTATATCAGCTCAAAGGCTTTTCACAATTATTTCCAGCAAGAGAAAAAATGAGGAGGTCGGAGATAAGACCCTCAAGCAGCATGGAAGACTACTTATTTAGCATTTATCCAATGTTTGCAAAACCCCTTAATGGATATGGTCTTGCAGGATTTGGGCTAACGATGCGGTCATAAAACTAGAGAGTTGATGTGGGCAGTGAAGTCTAATAACTGAGGTGGTGCTGAGTGACGTCCAAGCATTGATTTAATGTCTTCAAACACAAGGAGAGAACTGTGGGTGCTGAAGGAAATTACATTTATAATCTCAGAGGGTCAGCATGCACCGAGGACTGGCTGTGGAAAGATTCACAAGTGACAGTTGATGTTTATAAGATTTTCATCTTATTCCCTTCTGTATTTTTCCTCTATTTTCTTCATAGGATAAAGAGAAATTCCCCAAATCTATGTAGTTTAGGCCTATCTGCTTTGCCTGAATTGCAGATGGAGAAAAATGTTGTTAACCATTATCCTGGAAAGCCTGGGCTGTTCTCAAATTTGAATTTGATAATGAGATGCGAGAAAATGAATCAAGTTTCAGTTTCTCCTAAAGAAAAACCCTGGGTGGGGAGAGGGCACAGTTTGAATCAGAGTTCCTGACTGACTCAAAAGAGGTTTCTTTTAAACAATAGGTAGGTGCCATTCTGAAAGCCTCTTTCCTCCTTTGCGGTTCTAGCTCCGGTGTGGTGGTCCTGGTTCTATCAGACACTTGGGGCCCGCAGGTCAAACAACGCGCTGCTTTTCCATTAGCCAATTTCCACAAGTCAGCCGTGGAGGACTTTGCTGTGAAAATTCCATTTGGCTCTTTGGCATTAGGTGGTTTCCTGTCAAGAAGTTGTCTAGCTGCTGTTAGTAGTTTGGAGAAGAAGGAACACTTATTTTTATTTGTTAAATGAAAGCTGAAGTTGGTCAGAAAGGGGGTGGGCAGAATGAGCTGTTGCTCTTACTGTGGTGTTTGACAAAGCATGGACTACATTTTTGTTGGTCTGGGTGTTTAGTATATTTTTACTGTGTGTGTGTGTGTGTGTGTGTGTGCGCGCGTGCGCGCGCGACGATGTACGCGCGTGCCAGAATGGGTGCTTGAATTCGGGGCTTGGGCACTGTTCCTGAGCTTTTGTGCTCAAGGCCAGTGCTCTACCACTTGAGCCACAGTTCCATCTCTGGCTTGTCAGCGGTTCATTGGAGTTAAGAATCTCACAGTTTTTTTTGCCCTGGCTGGCTTTGAACTCTGATCCTCAGATCTTAACCTCCTGGGTAACTAGGAAGACAGGCACAATTCACCAGGACTCAGCTCATCCATCTGTCTGTCTGTCTGTCTGTCTGTCTGTCTATCTATCTATCACTTTTAATTGACACATAGTAATTGTGCACATTTATCGGGTACAATGTGACATTTCTAGACACTCTCCAATCTGTAATGGTTGGGGCATGGTGACTGGCATTCACACCCCATGTAGTTACTATTTCTTTAGCTTATTGTTTCTCAGCTATTTTCAGTGGCATAGACAATGAATCATTGTCAGCTACCCAGGCCCAACTCTGCTGGGATAGGTTTTTAACCCGTCGTCCATGGGGTGCTTAGGATGACTATCTAAGAACTGATGTCTTGCCCTTAACCGGAGCAGATCTGTTTGAATTCATTTTTACACGTGTCTGTTGCGGGAAGGAATGCTGGGTGTGTTTCTACCGCACCGACACTTACTCTCGCTCTGGTCCACAGGCGTCCTTGAAGTTCTCCCTGGAGGCTGCCTCTGTGGAGGAGTGGACCCCTGCTTCTCCATGGATCTGGATAAGTCGTCCGTCTGGGACTCCTTAAAACAGAAAACCAGGCCACTGTTACTCAACCTGAGCAAGAAGAAGGAGAAAAAGAGCCCCAGCAGGCCGCTCGACTTGAGGGCCAGGCATCGCCTGGACAGCCGCCTCAGCCTGTCTGTCCCCGACCTCCTGGAGGCCGAGGCCTTAGTCCCCGAAGGCCGGCCGTACGCGGGGCCGCAGTCCTCCTACACCTCCGTGCCCAACAGCCTGTCCACCGCCGGCATCCTGCCCAAGAGCAGCAGCAGCTCCCTGAAGCAATCGGAGGAGGAATTAGACTGGAGCCTGGAGGAAGCCAGTCATGTCCGCGGGGCAGAAACAGACGTGGAGGACATTCACGGGTCTCCTGTGGGGGCCGGGCGCTCCTCTGGCCAGGGTGTCTCAGAGCTGGAAGGAAATGCAGCCGGAGAGCTAGAGGTGAGACTCGGGGCTGGCCCCTTCCAGCCGCTGCTGCATTTTGTTTTGCTGTCTTCTTTCTACCATGTACATTCGTTGCCCTTGGAGCACATGGCTGGGAGCCTCTTCCTGTGGTTTTCCCGGAAGGGGAGAATGTGGTGTACAACAAGGGAAATTAATGTAATATTGATTGAATCTAGCATTCCATTCCTTGTACGGTTGACCTCTATGTGTTAGAAAACTATGACAAGCGACTTTTCTGGGATACTTTAAGGCATTAAGAAACCCCACTGAATGAGCTTTTCTTTTCCCTCCCTCCCTCCCTCCCTCTCTCCTCTCTTTCTCTCTCCTTCCTTCCTTCCTTCCTTCCTTCCTTCCTTCCTTCCTTCCTTCCTTCCTTCCTTCCTTCCTTCCTTCCTTCCTTCCTTCCTTCCTTCCTTTCTTTTTCTGTCTCCTGGCAAAGAAATCAAGAGCATAATCTTATCTCTAACTTTTAGGTTAAGTGTTCAATGTGTCTCTCCCCTTCCCCTCCCCTCCCCTCCCCTCCCTCCCTCCTTCTGTCCCTCCTTCTCTCCCTTCCTTCCTCTCTCCCTCCCTCCCTCCCTCCCTTCCTTCCTTCCTTCCTACCTACCTTCCTTCCTTCCTTCCCTCCCTCCCTCCTTTCTTCCTTTCCTTCCTTCTTTCCTACCTTCCCTCACTCCCTCCCTTCCTCTCTCCCTCCCTCCTCCCTTCCTCCCTCCCTCCTCCCTTCCCTCCCTTTCTCCTCCTTTCCCCTCCCTCCTTTCTCTTTCCCCTCTCCCTCTCCCACTCCCTCCCTCCCTCCCCCCCCCCCATGAATCCTAGGGCCTGATCTCAAGGTCTAGGTGCTGTCTCTGAGATTTTTTCTTTTCTCTTCCTCCTCCTTCCTTCTTTCTTTCTTTCTTCTCTCTTTCTCTTTCTTTCTCCCTTTTTCTCTCTCTCCTCCTCCTTTTCTTCCTTCTCCTCCTCTTCTTCCTCTTCCTTCCTCCTCTTTCCTCTTCTTCCTCCTTTCTCTTCCTCTTCCTTTCTCTTCTTCCTTCTTTCTCTGCCTCCTACTTTCTTCTTCTTCTTTTTCTCTCCAGGCTAGCATTCTACTATTTGAGCCACAGCTCCATTTCTGGCTTTTGTTTTAGTGGCTCATTGGAGATAAGTCTCACAGCCCTTCTGCCTGGGCTGGCTTTGAACTTTGGCCTTAGATCTCAGCCTCCTGAGTAGTTAGGATGCCAGGGGTGAGCCAGGGGTGGCCTCTGCTCCTCTTTCTGAGGAATGTAAGCAGGGGTCTCGCTGGGATGGCGGGATGGCTTAGGTCTTGCTGTGGTGCCTCTGTCTGCGTCTGTCTGCGTCTGTCCGCGTCTGTCCGAGTGTGGGCACTCATCTGTGGAGAACTTCCCTTGCATTCCTTGAGGGAAAAAAGATACCAGGTTTCCTGCCACCGCTCTTCTGGCTTGATGTTTCGCTTGGCAGCTGGAGCTGATGTGGACAAGATGAGTGATTTAGAGACGCTCCCTGGTGGGGCCTTTCCGGAAGGCCTGTGCAGTTCTAGTGACAACCACAGAGCTTCAGAGCGGTGGGCACAGAGCAGAGCTGTGACAACCTTAGACCCTTAGAGGCCGGGAACCCCCCTCCAGTTTAAGCTGAAAGGAAGGCAGGGAATCCCCCTCAGGCTGCGTCACTGGATGTGGTCTTGACCATTTCTATTTGACCTCAAACCTATGCCCCAACTTGGTGGCATCCAGTGGGCGGGGGGAGGGGGGAGCAGGTGTGGAAGCCAGAGCCAGGAGACTCTCACGGGCATCTTCCTGCCCCCTCCACCTCCTTCCTCCTGTCCCCTCCCAGCCAGCGGCTCCCTCCTGCTGCTGAGGAGCAGGGTTGTTTCCATCCCAAGGAGTAGCAGGCCATGGGTGTTCACAAAGTACAAGTGTCATGGTGGACAAGGGCCTGGGGAATGCTGGGTCACAATACTGCTGATAGACCAGAGTGGTCAGGAAAGGTCTCTGCTGAGAAGTCTTTTTTTATTATATAAAACAAGTACACATTTATAATCTATCTATCTATCTATCTATCTATCTATCTATCTATCTATCTATCTATGTTCTATCATCTACCAACTTACCTAATAACTACTATCTATCATCTGTCTATCTTATCCATCCGTCTATTCCCATCCATCCATGCATCCATTCTTTCCGTCCATCCCTCTATACACACATACATGTATGTTTTCTGGCCATGCTGGAAATTGAACCCAGGACTTTGCATGTGATAGGCAAGCTCTCTGTTCCTGTACTATACCCCAGCCCTGAGAAGATAATCCTTACAGAAAGCGGCCATGGCTCAGGCCTGTCATCCCAGCTACTTAGGAGGCTGAGATCTGTGGATGGTGGTTGGAAGCCAACCTAGGGCAGTTAAGTCCCTGAGACTCTTATCTCCCATGAACCACCAGTAAAACCAGAAATGGAGCTGGGGCTCAAGTGGTAGAGTGCAAGCCTTGAGGAGTTCGGGGACAGTGTCCAGGCCCTGAGTTCAAGCCAATGACTGACAAAATAAAAGAGTGAAGGAGCAGGCTGTGTGCGTGCCTGAGCAGGCTGTGTGTGTGCCTGAGCAGGCTGTGTGCGTGCCTGAGCAGGCTGTGTGTGTGCCTGAGCAGGCTGTGTGTGTGCCTGAGCAGGCTGTGTGCACAGAGGCCTCTGCCTAGCAGCCGTGGCCGAGTGATTGGGTTCTTTCTTTCCAGCAGAGCAAGGAAGCTGTGGCTGGAGAGGGGGCCAGGGGGGAAGGAGGGAGCCGTGGTAGAGGGCTGAGGGCCCCAAAGGGAGCCTGCAGGCTGGGCTTTCCCATCCCGCCAGGCAAGCCTCCGGAGGGGGCCAGGTACGTGGGGGAGGGGAGGGCTGGAAGGAGTCAGCGGCCTTCATGTGTGCTCTGCCCCCCCCCACAGACAGGGGGCTGGCAGCCAGGATGGGGGGGAGGGCGTGGTGCGGGCAGAGGGGCTGGGGGTGGAAAGGGAGATGTGAAGAAACACATCCAGCCTACTGCCACATAGCCCAGCCTTGTTCATCTGTCACTTGGACGCCATCTTTCAGACAGGGCCGCTCTCCTGGGGTGCCTCACCCGTGTATGGGAATGCTGGCGTCTGTTGGGCATGGAGGTCACCGTAGGTTTGTCCGGTGGCTGTTTGGTGGTCAGCGCGTCATCCTCCGATCCGCTGTGTTTATGCGATCGTTTCCTTAATGCTGTAGGCCCTTGGTGACTCCTGGAGTCTTACGCGTCCATCCTCTCAGAAGCTTAGGCTGGTTTACAGACTTAAATAACGAATGTATCCCGGTGGGCTCACCCCCCCCCCCCGCCCCCACACTGTGCACTTTAATGGCGTGGTTTTCCAAGGAAGTCATCTTTTCGGCAACCGCTTATGCCTTGTGTAGCTTCTTGGAGTGCGGGTGTGCATCTTTGGCTGAAAGTGTGCAGCACACTGAGATGGCTGGGTAGTTTATCTTTCGGCTTCCTGTGTGTCCTTCGTGGGGAGTTCCTTTGCACAGCCCTGTGGCTGGGGGGGGGGGAGGAGATGTGACATTTGTTCAGGATCACACTGGCTGTACACACATGTTTATTCACGCCCATGTGTGGTTCTCAGAGTTCCTGGTGAAGAGACAAAAGGTCTCCCCTCCCTCTCCAAATAATCCGTGCCCATCACCTGATGGTCTGTAATTTTATTTATTTTCCGTTGTGGGAGAGCCATTGCTTAAAGGGAACGAACAGTTCTTTGTTACTGTTGCATACGCTGGGATGGAGTGAAACAAATGAAGCCCAGCAAAAAGCCAGACAGACGCCACTTCAGTCAAAGACAGGGAGGAGGTGTGTGAGGATCGAGAGTCCCCAGGCCAGCGTGTTTTATAATGCCCGGCTCTGAAGCCTTGTAGATCACTGGCTAAATCATTGCTTATATTGAGATTTATTTGCGTTGAGATCTGAAGTTATTTGTCTTTTTCCCAATGATGTATTTGAAAGGGTTTGCTTAAAAAACACATTAGAATGGATACACAGTGGTTAAAAAAACTTCCCCGGTTTTCTTACATAATGGAATATTACTCAGCTGCTAAAAAGGGGTGATCTAGACAACGGCTTGGATGATTTCAGAGGCGCACACTGAGGGGAAGATGCCAGTCCCAACAGCTGACATACTGTTCAATCGTGTTAACAAGCGGCTGTAGAAAAGATGAAGACCGGAGGTTTCCATGGCTTAGGAATTGGGGAAAGATTTTACCATAGCGTGTGTGTGTGTGTGTGTGTGTGTGTGTGTGTGTGTGTGTGTGTGTGTGTGTGTGTGTGTGTGTGTGTGTGTGTGTGTGTGTGTGTGTGTGTGTGTGTGTGTGTGTGTGTGTGTGTGTGTGTGTGTGAATAAGATCAAGGTTATTCAAATCTATGCATTTGGTCAAAACACATGCCACAGTCAGGATGTGGCTCATGCTTGTAATCCTTAGCTACTTGAGAAGAAGAGATGGTGAGGGTTTCTATCCAAGGCTAGCTTGGGCAGAAAAAAAAAAAGAGAGAGACCATCTCAATCAACAGAGAGACCCAGTGGTCTGTGCCTGTTAGCTAGTTCCCCAGCAGCCCAACACAGGTGGATTATTTTATACTTGGTATAATAATTATATAGCAAGAGCCCATCCGAAAGATCACCAATAGAAAATCAGCACTATGATTTGTTCCAGCACAAAAATAAACAAAAACAAAGATAAAAAGTGTGATATGCTCACACACAGACAAACACATCCATTTTTACTGGGTATTAATTTGCCTTACAGTGAGCTTGCAAGCAATGTGGCCAGCCATTCTTATGGAGAACATAAAAATAATCACGGAATGCCTAGCATCCTAGCTACTCAGGAGACTGACACCTGAGGATTGTGGTTCAAAGCCAGCCTGGGCAGGAAAGTCCATGAGACTTTTCTCTCCAATGAACCACCAGAAACCAGAAGTGGCGCTGTGGTTCAAAGTGGTAGAGTGCCAGCCTTGAGCTGAAGATCTCAGGGACAGAGTCCAGGCCCTGAGTTCAAGCCCCACATACTGGATTAAAAAGGAAGTGATCCCCCAACCCCATATTGGAAAACGGATCTCTCACTTTGTTAGAGAAGATTTCATTCCAGAAGAGATAAGATGGTGCGCGTCCTACTCTGTGGGAAATTTGAGGCTCTATGCAACACCCCTAGAGGAAATGTTCAAGGCCTCGTGTCTCCCAGCGGCTGTTGCTGGTCTGTGTGTGCATATGGGACACTTTGCTGTTCTTTACGGGACTTGCGTCCCCTTGCTCGGTGAAGCTACCTATGGTGTGTGTCCGTTACAGCGGCTGTGAGATCTAGAACTTTGAAGTCCTGTGGCTTTTCTGTGGGCCACACCGGCCAATGTGAGGTGTTCCCGCCAAGTTTCCTCGTGGCATTTCCCTAGATTCCCAGAGGGATCTGTATCAGGGACAGGCAAATATCATCCTGCCAAAGGGGGAGAACCGGGACAGACATCCAGATCCCTTCGTCTCTTTTTTTTTTTTTGGTCAGTCCTGGGCCCTGAACTCTGGGCCTGGTTGCTGTCCCTCAGCTCTTCAGCTCAAGGCTAGCACTCTACCACTTGAGCCACAGCGCCACTTCCGGGTTTTTTTCTGCTTATGTGGTACAGAGGAATCGAACCCAGGGCCTCATGCATGCGAGGCAATCGCTCTACCACTGAGCCACCTTCCCAGATCCTTCCACTTCCCCTCTCAACAGCCGGCTTTTTGTTTTCCTTTGCAGAAGCTGCGTGGTGGTGGCGATCTCCAGGCTCCTGCGGCATTGCGAACTTCCGAAGAGTCTGTGAGTGTCCTTCCCGAAGCACTAACACCAGAGCGGGTGCTGTGGACACTTGCCCTCAGTCCTTTGGATTTCTTTGCCTCTTTTTTATTTTTTATTTTATTTTTTTGTAGGTCATAGGGCTTGAACTCTGGGCTTGGGCACTGTCCCTCAGCTCTTCAGCTCAAGGCGCGCGCTCTACCACTTGAGCCACAGCGCCACTTCCAGTTTTCTAGTGGTTTATTGGAGATAAGAGTCTTACGGGCTTTTCTACCTGGGCTGGCTTTGAACCTCGATCCTCAGATCTCAGCCTCCTGAGTAGCTGGGATGACAGGCGTGAGCCACCAGCGCCCAGCTAGATTTATTTTTTAAATTTCTAACAGATGGCCCAGTACAGCCACCTGCCACAATGAGTGGCCCACAGGTTTCAGTGTCCCGAGATGAACTCGGGGCCTAGTGATTGGGTCAGGCTGGACCAGACTCTACTAAAAATACCTAGCATCCACGCAGGGGTGTGAGGTGAAGGAAGCAGAGCCGACAGCCAAGGCTAAGAGGGGTGGTGGTGGTGGTGTGCTGGCCGCAGGGCCGGTCGATTGAGTGTCTAATGAGTGGATGAGCTCTGTTTGTCCTTCTCTGTGAAGAAAGACACAGATTTGCAGCGGCTCAAATGCGTCCGTCCACTGGATTCATAGGAAAGATAGGCAAAAATGGGCCGGGAGTTCGGCATGAGAGCCCCTGGGTGATGATGAATTCATGGAGATGGGGGAGACCTGGGAAGCCCCAGGCAGACAGAGGACCCTGTGTGGACGCAGTGAGGAGCGTGTATCTCATGGACCGGAGCCACTGAGGGTTTCCCCCACGGAAACTACCCCACGTGGAGCAGTGGGTATTCCCCATGGGTAGTGGGGAGATGTGGGGAGGAAGAGGGCGATGTGTGCTTTCCGGGAGTGCCAGGGCTTCCGTATTTGGCAGGAACCAGCGCTGTAGCGAATCCCTGCATGTGGCTGTATGATGCGTTTTGCAAGCTCGTGGTCGGTGAGAGGCTGCGGAAGCTAGCCTGGCACGCATCCAACCACTGGACAGTTGATCCTGCAAAGATGTGATCACGTTTGCCTTTGGTATCTGCGTTGTACCCCACTGGGGAGAGAGATACAGAGGAGTTGGTTAGAAAGCTAGTGTCAGGGGGCCGTGACACTTCGGTGTGAGTTGGAGGTGTCGCTTGTACATTTAGGCCCAGGACCTGATGGAAATGCTTGTTTTATTCTCTGCAGATGCTCAGGGAAGCCGGGGATGGCCTGAGCAACCTCCCCAGCCCCTTCGCCTACCTCCTCACCATCCATCTGAAGGAAGGCCGGAACTTGGTGGTGCGGGACCGCTGTGGTAAGCAGTCTGCTTGGGTCCCAGCCCTGGGCTTTGCAGCCCGCACCCTTCTTGTGGTGTGGCTATTTTGCTGGGAAGGCTGTGAGCTGATCATTTCCATCTCGGCAGTGGTCAGGACCTGGGGAGCATTTGTGGTAATCATACTTATAGTCACACAAGAGGCTGTGTGTCTAGCACATAATAACAGCTCAAGAAAGTGTTTGCCTGTCAGGGAGATAGAAGTACCGATGGATGGAAAGCGCTGTAAGCCGCCTATTTTAGCTGCCAAAAAATCCCATCCTGTTTCTTCTCTTAGCTGTTATGTGTCCCTCAGCTCTGCAGCTCAAGGCTAGCGCTCTCCTACTTGAGGCACAGCTCCACTTCCAGTGTTTTCTGTTTATGTGGTGTTGAAGAATCGAACCCGGGGCCTCATGCACGCGAGGCAAGCACCCTATCACGGAGCCACCTTCCCAGGCCTTGAATTCCTTTCGAAAGAATGGACTTCTGAATTCTTCTGGACTGTAGAGTTCTTCTGATCTTCCCTCTCCCCCAATCCTCCTCCCCTCTCTCCTTCCCTCTCCTCTCCTCTCCTTTCTCCTCCCATCTCCCTTCCTCTCCCCTCTTCTCCCTTACTAGGACCCTGACTTAGTTTGTGGGGGGGGGAGGAGGGAATTGCTGCTGAGCTGGTGGAGTTCATTCTAGCAGCCCTGGGTTCTAGGCCGCATTGAAACCCTGTGTATTTCCTTCAAGTTGGCCAACTACAGGATAGCAGTTCCTTGGTTGGCAATTGAAAGACTATCACGGTGTTCGTGCCCTCTGGTGGTCACGTTTTAGTATTGCAGAAAGGAAAACAAACCAATTGATGTGCATGATTAACATTTCTAGGACCATTAAAAAAAATCTCTCTGCAAGTGTGGGTGAGGATGGTGATCTTTTTTGTGCATGGTCGTTTGCCCAGGAAACAGCTCACTCTTTCTGCATTTCCAACACATGTAGATAATGACATTTGTTTAGTATGCAATTTCCTCTACAAATGACAGGAAGAAAAATATGACATTAGATAAGACATTTTCATGCTTGAATGACTTAGAGAGGGGTTTAAATATGTCCCAGTAAGAAGAAGATTCTGCCACATTCTTAGGTATCAATTACCAGATTGTTACAAAGGTAGCTCCGTGTAAGGCACTTTGGACTACAGGTCTGTTTTGCTATTTAGTAGGCTGATTTGTATGATTATATCATTTTTATGGTAGCAATTTTGCTTTATAAAGAAAGGTAGCTGGGTGCTGGTGGCTCACGCCTGTAATCCTAGCTACCCAGGAGGCTGAGGTCTGAGGATTGTGGTTTGAAAACAGCCTGGCAGGAAAGTCTGTGAGACTCCTAATCTTTCATAAACTACTCAGATAAAGCCAGAAGTGATGCCATGGTTAAGGAAAAGATTTCACAAATATATGGAGACAAACATGAGAAAAGCAGATGGGGAGAAAAACATAACAGTAGGTAATTCTTAGAAGTTTGAGTGGAACGCACATGTAATGATGTGATTTTTTTTTTTTCTATTTGGGCAATAACCGAACTTTGAACTTAGGAGCCTGGCTTTTGTTTGGCAAGCATTCTACCTACCAGGCCTTCAGCCCTGATTGCTTGTAGGTTACTGTCTGATAAGGTCCTGTATTCTAGTCTCAGACCAGCCTCAGACCTTGATTCTCCTACTTGAAGTATCTTGCCTATCTGGGACTACAGAGTGTACCACCATGCCCACCCCAGATCTGACTCTTGTAATTCTATCTTCATTTTCTAAAGCAAAATATCACCTCGGTTTGATATTGCTGAATTATACCTGTGCTTATCCCTCTAATGTTTTGAGTTGAAAGATTGTGGTTTAAAACCAGTTGACAGGAAATGACTAGAGCAATATGCTGAACTAGAGGCAATGGCTCAGGTGGTAGAGTGCCAGCGTAGCAAGCAGGATAAGCAAGTGAAAGCTCTTGACTTCATGACTCTGCATTTCTCTCCTTCCTTCCTTCCTTCCTTCCTTCCTTCCTTCCTTCCTTCCTTCCTTCCTTCCTTCCTTCCTTCCTTCCTTCCTTCCTTCCTTCCTTCCTTCCTTCCTTCCTTCCCTCCCTCCCTCCCTCCCTCCCTCCCTCCCTCCCTTCCTCCATTACATTCTTAAATGTGTGCACTTGTACTTAATTTCCTTTTCTGAATATCCCAGTCACCCATTGCTTTCGCTATTATTTTCTGGTTGCATGCACATAACTATTTTCTATGTTTTTCTTTAAATTAGTTTACAGCTTTTTTTTGCTGTTGCAAAGAACTTACAATGCTAGGGGCTGGGAAAGTGGCTCAGTGGTAGAGCGCTTGCCTTGCATGCATGAGGCCCTGGGTTCGACTCCTCAGCACCACATAAGCAAAAAGAAAAAAAGCCGGAAGTGGCGCTGTGGCTCAAGTGGTAGAGTGCTAGCCTTGAGCTGAAGAGCTGAGGGACAGCGCCCAGGCCCAGAGTTCAGGCCCCACGAATGGACCCCCCCCCCCTCCAAAAAAAGGACTTACAATGCTATTCTGGAGCTATTCTTCGTGTATGGGTATGTGTGTGTATCTGTGTGTGTCCTGGGGCTTGAACTCAGGGCCTAGTCACTGTCCCTGAGCCACTTTGTGCAAGAATTTACTACTTGAGGTACACCAGCATTTTTGCTGGTTTATTGAGGATAAGAGTCTCATGGAGGGGAGCGTGGGGGGAGGGCTGGGAAGGTGGCTCAGTGGTAGAGCCCTTGCCTCCCATGCCTGAAGCCCTGGGTTCGATTCCTCAGTACCACATACACAGAAAAAGCCAGATGTGGTGCTGTGGCTCAAGTGGTAGAGTACTAGCCTTGAACAAAAGAAGCTCAGGGACAGTGCCCAGGCTCTGAGTTCAAGCCCCAGGACTGGCAAAAAATAAAAACAAATAAAAAGAGTCTCATGGACTTTCTTTCTCTGGCTGTCTTTAAAACATGACCCTCAGATCTCAGCCTCCTGAGTAGCTAGGATGACAGGCCTGAGCCCCATCACCCGCCTCCTCCCCTCCCCCGCCCCCACTCCTCCGAGTCATACAGGCTTATTCTCCCAGGTGGTTTTATATTTCTCTTTTACTTCTTCAGTCTAAAATTTATTTCTCACACAGATTAGGAACTTTTTTTATCAAACTGGCTTCCTTTAAGAGACCAAAATATCTCTTTCCCTAATGATGTGGGTGCTCGTTTTGAATTGCGTATTCAAATGTAATACATATTGATGTTTGCTCTCCTGTCCCGGGCCTAGTGCTATGACAGTATCAAAGGCACTGACAGGTCAGGGCCGCTTTCACCTTGCAAACTTGGGACTGACTTCTCCCTAGTACTGACTGTGACCGCCAGATGGCACTAAGTCACTGGTGGGCTCAAGTGGGAGCCTGGGCTGGTGGGGGGTGGGGGGGGGGGAGGGGGAGGGAGAGGTGGTCACACTTTAAAGATGAGATGCAAATGCACATCCAGCACTTGCTGAGACTAAAGCAAACCCAGGCCGCTGGGTTTTGTGCCTTTTGTTTTGTTTGTTTTGCTTTTTGGTCTCAGTATTATATATTATCATCAGTTTTTTTTTTTGGTGGTGGAGGGGAAGGCTCCACAAAGTCATGAGCAGATTAAAATGTCTTGGTGCTTCTCGCTTGCCATTATTCAGACCCTAGCGTTTTGATTTATGTTAAAAACCCGACCATTTAAGTTTTATTATCTATACGATTATTAAAATTTAAACTTACATAATTAAAATACTGTAGATAGATATCCCCTCCCCAAGCGACTATTAGGCCCCCCCCCCCACCTTTTTTGGTGCTGGTTCTGGAGCTTGAAGTCAGGGCCTAGGTTGCTATCTTACGTTCAAGGCTAGTGCTCTACCACGTAAGCCACACCTCCACTTTTGGTGTGTTGGTTCATTGGAGATAAGAATCTCACAGATTTTCCTGCCCAGGCTGGCTTTGAACTGCAATCCTCTGATCTCAGCCTCCTAAGTAGCTAGGATTACAGGCATGAGCCACTGGTAACTGGCTTAAGCATAAATCTTAAGTCCAGTGAAATAGACTCCAGCCTGTAGGGAAAAGATCATGCAGGGCAGAAAGTTTTATGTAAGTTATATACAATTTTATATAAGTATCTGTTACACAAGTTACAGCTATACATTTATAATAAATTTAGGAGTGGACGTTTTTCCCCCTCTTTTGCTGGTACCAGAGTTTGCGCATGGGACCTGGTGCTCTTGCTTGGCTTGCTTGCTCAGCTGGGGCTCTACCACTTGAGTCATGCCTCTGGCCCAGCCTTTTGCTGGTTATTTTGGAGATGCCACATAGCAAAGTGCAAATAGCAAGGCTAGTCGAAGACTGGACCATCAGAGACACATGGTTCTGAGATTGGTAGCTGAAACAGCTCAGCTGAAACCAGTTTCTAACAGCCTAGCTGCCCAGAAAGGCTGAATCAAAGAACACAGCATCTTCAGTGAGGAACTGTTGATTTTGAGAACTTAGAGAGGCTTATTTAGAAAGCTAGTTCCTCCTGGGGAAACAAAAATATTTTAAATAGTTTCCCCCCGCTAAAATTTGCACAGAATCCTAGCAAGAAGTACCTAGGATAAAAAATGCTTTTCCAAGCTGGGTGCTGGTGGTTCACGTCCCTCATCCGAGGTACTCAGGAGGCTGAGATCTAAGGATCAAAGTTTAAAGCCAGCCCAGGCAGGAAAGTCTGTGAGACTCTTAGCTCTAATAAACCACCAGAAAACTGGAAGTGGTGCTGTAGCTCAAGTGGTAGAGTGCTAGCCTTGAGCTGAAGAGCTGAGGGACAGCGCCCAGGCCCTGAGTTCAAGCCCCACAACTGACAAAAAAAAAAAAAGTTTTTCCTACCACTTTTCATAAAGGTGATAGAAGTGTCATGTCTTTAAGATGGCAACAAAGAAACATTATAGAGACGAATTCAATCCTGGATGTTAAAGTAGATGAATATAAGACTGCGTATGTGGTT